GCGCGAGACACAGAGAGAGAGAGAGAGAGAGAGCGAGACAGAGAGAGAGAGAGAGAAAGAGCAATAGAGAGAGAGAGAGAGAGTGCACCAAAGAAAGGACGACGGAAATAAAGAGACAGGTAACGACGACCGAACGAAAAAAACTAAGAAAGACATTATGACAGAAAGAAAGCAGCATATGCATAGAGAGAGAGAGAGAGCGAAAGGGAAACAGGGAGAGAGAGAGAGAGACACGCTCAGAACAATTAAGAGCTAGGTTTCTGGGACAAGGCTCGCGGTTTTATATTTAACGCATACTGGACCGTCAGACCACTATAGGTTAATGTAAGTCAAAAATCTCTATCCCTGGTGTCTCTGATAATGATAAAGCTTCCAGAACCCTAAGCCCCCAGTCCCCGATTAGGCGAGACGGAAAAGGGCGCTCACCAACAAAGCTCTGAACTCTGAACCCTGAACCCCAAACCCTAAACCCAACACAACTCTCAACCCTAAACCCTAGCTCCGAGTCTCTTCTGAAAAAGCATCTGTGTCTCTTTGGAAATCGGAATACGATACCCCTTCATCCGAAGCATTTCATCCCTAAACCTCCTTCAACCCTAAACCCTTAAGCCTACACCCGAAACCCTAAACCCTAAGCCCTAAACCCTACAACCGAAACCCTAAACCCTAGACCCGAAACCCTAAACCCTCAACCCGAAACCCTAACCCCCTAAACCCGAAACCATAAAAAAGCCTTAGCCAGTCGGGTGTACACTTGCAAAGAGGCCGGAATAATCAGACCAGTGGGCCTCACGTGAACACAACAAGCCTTGGCGTTCTTCTGGTTGGCTCGTTAGACTTTAGCTTCTTTGGGTTTCTACATGAACTACAAAATCTAGGCTAAAAGTTCAACTTTTAGGAGGGGTTCAGAAGTAAGCCAAGAAGCATAAGCCCAGTCCAATACCAGCAACATCAGAGGGACGCAACGGCTTACAGTGTTCGTCGCAAGTTGCCGCGTCTGACATGTTCTGGGTATGTTTGGATAGAGTGAGCTCTTATATAGTCCCCAGACCTTCCAACATCCATTCACTAAGGAGTCTACCTCGAGTTTATACTAGGACCCCTAACATCTTTTAGGATCTTTTCCTTTCATAAGGGACTTTGCCCTAAACCCTAAACCCTAAACCCGCAACTCAAGGTTCTCAAGCCCCTGGCCCCTGACGCCTGGATCCTGGAACTCTCAACTCGTAAACCTTAAGCCGCGATGCTTTGATGGCTCGTGGGTTTAGGGGTTTAGGGTTTAGGGTCCTTTGCCAACACCGTGAACTAGAGCAGAGCATTAAACCCCAGTAGCGCTCAAAATTGGGCGAAACCTGTCGTGATCTTTGGAGGGAATTGCTTCTTGCTGCAGGTGAGCAGTTTGGTTTGCTGGCTCCTTGGCTCGGATTTCTGTGGGGCTTGGCGCTTAGGGTTTGCCAGTAGCATGGCAGCAGGTGCCGGGCTAGAGATTGGGGGTTCAGGGTTTAGCGCTGATGAACTGCACCCCCTAACCCCTAAATCCCCTTGGGGTTTATTCAGGGCTTCACGGGTTCTGTCTGTGAGTCTTAAGTTCTAACGGAGCTATAAGCTCTTAGGGTTCCGACGGGCGACATTCATCGGCGCCCAAACTGTTTACTGTTTCGTGTTTAGGGGAATATAGGGGCCTTAATGATTTTGATAGGGGTTTGGGGCTCATTATACTATACTTATAATAAGGAACCCCCGAAACAGTATCGGTAATTATTTAGACCCTTACACCCTAAGCCCTAAACCCTAAACCTTAAACCCTAAACCCTATTCGCGGCACGGTGTTAGTTTTGTTTCGGGGCGCGGAAGTAAGTCGGGGTTCGGCCTTCAGCTACAGGGGCTTACAGCCCGATGCCAAAGGTTTAGGGTTTAGGGTTTAGGGTTTAGGGTTTATTGTTTAGGGTTTAGGGTGTAGGGTTTAGGGTTTAGGGTTTAGGGTTTATTGTTTTGGGTTTACGGTGTCGGGTTTAGGGTTTAGGGTTCAGCGCTTCCAAGCCCGACCGTGAACTTCCTTAATTCTCCAAAACCCAACTTTTAGATTTTTTGGGTTGCTATAACTTAGTAGTAATCTGACAGTTTAACCTTTTACTTCCCTGGCTTATTGGGGAAGCAAGCTTCAATTACAGCCTTACGCCTTAGTATAATATCCATGGACTCCTATACGTACCTATATAGTGCAATGTGGGGTTTCTATATGTTTCCATATGGCCACTTAGGACCTAAACCCTATACCGTAAACCCAGGGAGGAGCCCTTGTAGGGGTCAGGGTTTAGGGGTTTAGGGTATACTTTGACCTTAAAGTAGTCCGTATAAAGGTTATCTGCTATTTGGGTGCATGGACCCTTAGGGGAGTTTACTGGGCTCTTGTTAAGGAGCTTAATCTCAGTCACCACAATAAGGATCTGTAGTAACTCATATATGGTTTAATATGGTCTCCTTACTATGGTAACTTGAAATAACTACCATAACCAAAAGAGTCCATGAATGCGCCTATTGTGGAATTAGGGCCCTAAAACTATCATAGAGATGGTCTGGCGGGACCCAAATCCATAACAGAGAGAGAGAGAGAGAGATATATATAATATATATATATATATATATATATATGGACCCTCTGGGCAGCAAGGGTTTGTAGTCACATGTAGTAGCTACTATGGTCTCCGAATTATTATTGCCAAACCCTAAACCCTAAACCTGACAAGGCGCCAGTTTTGGCTTCAAAGTTCAGGGATTAGGGTTTATCTCCATATAACCTACCTTTTTTGGGGACTTATATAAAGAAATCATAATAAGGAGCCCTAAAGAGGGGTAGGTTCTTTGGGGTCCAGGTAGGGTTCAAGGCTCTGAGCCCTTGGCTTACAGCGTGTCTTTGGGGCTTTGGGCCGGTCCGGGTTGATGGAGCCATCACTGTTTAGGGTTTAGGGTTTGGGTTTAGGGTTTCGGGTTTAGGGTTTAGGGTTTAGGGACAGGGACCGCGCCGATAATAGCGAACTGCCTGGCACAGTTCTCAACCAAACCAGGTTCAGGGTTTAGGGTTTAGGGTTCTGTAGTTTAGGGTTTAGGGTTCTGCAACCGCTTACTTGTAGAAGCCAAAAGCCCCAACACTAGCCGCCGCCCTGGCGGAAGGTAAGCAAAGTGGGTGGATCCATGTGGCAACACCTGCAGTGGCTGGGCCTAATTGGCGTAAGTCATAAACACCGAAGCTTCGCCCCGCAACACCGAAAACGTGAAAAGCTTGTAAACCCTAAACCCGAACCCTATGATCCCTGAACCCTACGACGGCACCCTAAACCCTAAACCCTAAACCCTAAACCCTAAACCCTAAACCCTAAACCCTAAACCCTAAACCCTAAACCCTAAACCCTAAACCCTAAACCCTAGTCTTTCCAGACTTGACTGATGCTCCAAATCGAAAAGACTAATGTTCGAACCTGATTCAGAAACCCTCGGATACTAATCTATATGGGAGTTTCCGAAAATAAGGGGACCCTATTTTGGGGGTCCTTATAATAAGGATCCTACGGTTTAGGGTACAAAATTAGGGACCCCGTTTTTCGGATACTAACCTATATTGCTGCTGTGCTGAGCCCAACTACGTACTCATGGGGTGCTGTCGAGACTCGATGATGAAATTCTCGGATTCATGAATGCTAAACCCCTCAACCCTAACCCCTCAAGGCCCAGTGTAGGGGCCTAAAGGATGAGTACCAATACCATTTTGAATTTTGGGGTTCCTCATTATAACTATAGCATAATGAGCCCCAAAACCCTATTCTAATTTTGTAAGGCCCCAAACCCTAAACCCTAAACCCTAAACCTTACACCCTACACCCGGGTTTTGGGCGTTGGGGCGTTTGTTCTCGAAGCCTGCGAGGTGCAGGCAGCTCAGATTTAGGAGTTAGGGATTCGTTGGTTTAGGGTTTAGGATTCGTTGCCTAGGATCGAGTTTCAGGGTGTAGTATAGGGGCCTCAATAGTTAGAATAGGGTTTTGGGGTATATTATATTCTAATCAGTCATGATCGTAAGGAACCCTTCCGAAATATTATTGTTATCAAGGCCCCTACACTAGGGTTGATATCGGGGCTTCTGCTTTGTATTGGCGTCGAGTCCGTGGTGCTAATGTTCAGATGTGCTCCGAATGAAGTTTGTCCTTCTGACTGCCTCTAGACATGCACATGTTCAGAGAGCAGAACACCCAGCCACGCATTACTCAGAAGTAGCTGCCTTGTTACGCACATGTCACAGCCCTGCAGCACCTGATTGCTCAATGGCGGAGCGCTACCGCATTCCTGCCCAGCAGATCATTCGCTTCATGTCCATGCAGCTCGAAATCACCACCATGGCTGGCTTCGGCATCACCTGCAGCGTGGATCCGGAAGTATCCGTGCTCAATCTGAAGAGGGTGGCAGAAAGCGAGATGAAACGCCTGATAAAGCATCTTGTCACTGCAGATGCGCGAGTTGCGAATGAGAATCAGAATATATTGGATGCAGGTATAAGGGATGGCGATATGCTGCAAGCTGTGCTGATGTCAGACGGTGACAAGGTTCAAGCTATTCTGCAAGAGAGGGAGTCACATACCTGCGACTGTCGGAAAATATCACGTGCTGGAGAGTACGCGCTGGTTAAGGCAATGTTTTGGTCAAAAGATGAAGAAGCGGCCCCATATGTTGAGGAGTACAGTCTCTACCATCTTCCTTCCTGGAGGCGTGGCGACACGCCTCTTCTTGAAGCAACTTATGTGGATGACCCGGAGTCTGATGACGCTGAGAAGGGGCACGAACTCGTTCTTGTGGGAAACGGGGAGGTTGAGTTGAGGGAAGTATCGGAAGTTGGTGTTTGGAACACGCTCTTCCGCAAGAAGCTTGACAGCCTTCTAGAAGGACGCGTGTTGGCAGATGTTGAAGAATGAGAATGCAAGGCAGCTCGAGGCAGTGTGCAGACCTGTATAATTGACCTACATCATACATCGGAATAACTAGTATTAGTAACCGACCTGTTGTCGCTTTACAGGTCAAGTATACTATCAGTACGGCGAAACCCTCTTCTAATGAGCAATCGAAGGCCCCTATATTTATGCATTTACGGGCATTGCCACGGTTGCCACGTTGACGTGCCAGGAGGTGTAGGCCACACGAGCAAGCAAGAAAAGGGAGCTTCCTCAAGTTTGGAGTCCATATTGTCTGAGCCCTAAACCCTAAACCCTGAACCCTAAACCCTGAACCCTTAAACCCTAAACCCTAAACCCTAAACCCTGAACCCTAAACCCTGAACCCTTGAACCCTGAACCCTGAACCCACGTTAGAGGTGAGGATTTTTGGTCATGCCGTCGCCACGCTGGGAAGTCATGTGGGGAGTGGGAGTTTAGGGTTTAGGGTTTAGGGGTTTACGGTTTAGGGTTTAGGGTTTAGGGTTTAGGGGTCTAGGGTTTCGGGTATGGAGGGTTTAGGGTTTAGGGTTTAGGGCTTAGGGGGGGGGGGGGGGTTTAGGGTCTAGGGTCTAGGGTTTAGGGTTTAGGGTTGAGGTTTGAGGGTTGAGGGTTGAGGGCGGGGTGGGGTACTAATTACAAGGGCTGCTAGGCGTGCTACAATGACAGATGTCAAAGGTTACTATTCAGGTGGCTATATGATATAGAAAAAGTGTTGACAGAAGTGTTATCGTAAGCATGACTATACGGGTTACAGTAAGGTATCTATGATGAAGTTTTCTGCGCAAGCTTGTTCCTTTGATCTCTCATCGCGGCATGCCCTTCCCTAAGACTACGACCAGGGTCAAGCAAAGAACTGTCGATATTGCTTGTCAGATTGGTTTGGACACGTATAGGGCCTATCCCTAGGCAAACAGTCAGTGGCACACCTTGAAATCACATCTTTGCTTCGGTTTCGAGGCCTCCTGAATACTGGCTAAGTTTGTTCCTTTTTGGGGTTCTGGTTTCTTGATCGGGATTTCCCACGAAGATGTCTTCAATTAATCGTCACTTTGGGGTTTAGAGTTTAGGGCTTAGGGTTAGGGGTTGACATAAATGCCATTTCTTCAACTTCTGTCGCAAGTGCAAGAAGCAGTCTATAATAGAATCCAGAATGGACGGTATGACTACCGCTGCAACGACGACGACTCCTACCACGACTCCTGCTACATACCATCAAGACCACATGCAATTATAAGAACCAAAAAGAGCACAGACCCTAAACCCGAACCCCTAAACCCTAAACCGGGTAAACCCTAAACCCTAAGCCCTAAACCCTAAACCGGGTAAACCCTAAACCCTAAACCAAGTAATCCCTAAACCCTAAACCGGGTAAATCCTAAACCAAGTAAGCCCTAAACCCTAAACCGGGTAAACCCTAAACCCTAGACCAAGTAATCCCTAAACCCTAAACCGGGTAAATTCTAAACCGAGTAAGCCCTAAACCCTAAACCGGGTAAACCCTAAACCCTAGACCAAGTGAGCCCTAAACCCTAAACCGGTAAACCTTAAGGTGCTTAACAAAAAACGGGTAAGCCCTAAGCCGGGTAAACCCTAAACCCTAAACCAAGTGAGCCCTAAACCCTAGACCGAGTAAACCCTAAACAGCGTAAGCCCTAAATCCTAGACCGAGTAAACCCTAAACCAAGTAAGCCCTAAACCCTAAACCGGGTAAACCCTAAACCAAGTAAGCCCTAAACCCTAAGCCGGGTAAACCCTAAGCCAAGTAAGCCCTAAACCCTAAACCGGGTAAACCCTAAGCCAAGTAAGCCCTAAACCCTAAACCGGGTAAACCCTAAACCAAGTAAGCCCTAAACCCTAAACCCTAAACCCTAAACCCTAAACCTTATTGGAAGACCGGGTTCTCACGGA